ATTATCCTGGGTCACCCATGGCTGCGCAGACATAATCCCCAGATCGACTGGCCTACTGGCACCATCCTAAGCTGGGGATCCACTTGCCAACTCACCTGCAAGCTTCAGAGTCCCTCAGCCCCTAGTTCCGAGTTTCAAGAGTCTGTCAACCTCTCTCGAGTCCCCAGTGTTTACCATCAGTTCAAGCCAGTGTTCAGCAAGTCCCAGGCTACCTCCTTACCACCTCACCGAGCTTATGACTGTGCCATTGAGCTACTCCCTGGTTCCTGCCCTCCAAGGGGTCGTGTCTTCTCCTTATCCTCCCCTGAGCACTCTGCTATGGATACCTACATTAAGGAGTCCTTGTCAGCCGGCATCATCCGTGCCTCTACCTCTCCGGCTGGGGCAGGGTTTTTCTTTGTAGAGAAGAAAGACGGGGGTCTTAGGCCTTGCATAGATTACCGGGGCTTAAACAAGATCACGGTACGTAATCGATACCCCCTTCCTCTCATGGTCACTGCTTTTGAGCTGCTTCAAGGGGCTTCCATTTTTACGAAACTGGATCTCCGCAATGCTTACCATCTTGTGCGGATCAGGCAAGGAGATGAATGGAAGACGGCCTTCAACACCCCCACGGGTCACTATGAATATCTGGTGATGCCATTCGGGCTCACTAACGCCCCCGCAGTATTCCAAGCCCTGATTAATGATGTTCTTCGTGACATGCTTAATCTGTTCGTCTTCGTATACCTGGACGATATCCTCATCTTCTCAAAATCACTTAAGGAGCATGTGGGGCATGTTAGCCAGGTCCTCCAGAAACTTCTTGACAATAATCTCTACGTAAAACCAGAGAAGTGTGACTTTCATGTTTCCCAGACTCAGTTTCTTGGGTTTATCATCACTCCCGGCCACCTGGAAATGGATCCCAAGAAGGTCAAGGCAGTCCTCAACTGGCCCACCCCTGCCACAGTCAAGGAGGTTCAACGTTTCATTGGCTTTGCAAACTTCTATAGGAAGTTCATTAAGAATTTCAGCTCGGTGGTAGCCCCCTTAACAGCACTTACTAAGGGAGGAGGAACCAAGATTCACTGGGGTTCAGAGGCTGCGCGGGCTTTCGAGGATCTCAAGTGCCGCTTCACTTCCGCTCCGATTCTTGTTATTCCTGACCCAGAAAGACCTTTTGTGGTGGAGGTGGACGCCTCAGAGGTGGGGGTAGGGGCCATCCTGTCACAGAGGGGTGAGGATGGTAAATTACACCCTTGTGCTTTCATGTCTCACCGCCTGTCTGATGCCGAGCGTAACTACCACGTGGGGGATCGAGAGTTGCTTGCGGTAAAACTGGCCTTGGAGGAGTGGCGCCATTGGCTTGAGGGGGCTCAGCATCCTTTCCAAGTTCTTACCGACCACAAGAACCTGGAGTATCTCCAGCAGGCTAAGCGGTTGAACCCTCGGCAAGCGCGATGGTCCCTGTTTTTTAATCGATTCCAGTTTCTCCTATCTTACAGACCCGGCACCAAGAATGGCAAGCCGGATGCCCTCTCTCGAGTCTACTCTCCCGAAACACAGGAGAAGCCCTTGGCATCGATTATTCCGGGGTCTAGGATAGTTGCGCCTCTTCAATGGGAACTAGAAAGAGGGGTACGAGAGGCCCTTGTCCACGAGCCCGATCCAGGTGGTGGTCCTGCCGGACGCTTGTACGTTCCTCTATCTGTTCGGGCCCAGGTCTTGCAGTGGGGTCATGAGTCGCCCCTGACGTGCCATCCAGGTAGTGCTCGCACACTGGAATTCCTCCAGCGGAGGTTTTGGTGGCCGTCCATCAAGAAGGATGTCCAGGTTTATGTGGAGGCCTGCCCTGTGTGTAATCAAGGAAAGACTACACGTCAGCGACCCCAGGGTCTGCTCCGTCCCTTACCTATTCCCCAAAGGCCATGGTCACACCTTTCTCTGGACTTTGTTACAGGACTTCCTCCATCCCAGGGCAACACTGTAATCCTGGTGGTTGTTGACCGCTTCTCTAAGGCTGCCCGGTTTATCCCCCTGCCCAAACTGCCTTCAGCCAAGGAGACTGCTGAGCTCCTAATGAATCATGTCTTCCGGATATTTGGAATTCCCCGTGATATTGTCTCTGATCGTGGTCCCCAATTCTCATCCCGGTTTTGGGGGGCCTTCTGCAGGCTTATCGGGGCCACAGCCAGCCTATCATCCGGGTTCCATCCTGAGTCTAATGGGCAGACGGAACGGATTAATCAGGATCTGGAGACCACCTTGCGGTGTATGGCAGCCAGTAATCCCACTTCTTGGGCCACCTATATTATTTGGGCTGAATATGCCCACAACACCCTCCAGTCCTCGGCCACCGGATTGTCCCCTTTTGAATGCCAGTTTGGATATACCCCTCCACTATTTCCTGAGGAAGAAGTGCAAGTTGGTGTTCCCTCTGCACAGCACTTTGTCCTACGCTGTAGACGGACCTGGAAGAAGGCTAGGCGTACACTCCTGCGGACCTCCCAGAGATACCAAACCCAGGCTAATCGCCGCCGCCGGATGGCACCTAATTTCCGAGCTGGTCAAAGAGTCTGGTTGGCTACTAAGAACCTGCCCCTCCGGGTCGAATCTAAGAAGCTTTCCCAGAAATACATCGGACCTTTTCGCATAGCAAGGAAAGTTAACCCGGTTTCTTATCGTTTGTTTCTCCCTCGTTCCCTTAGAATTAATCCCACTTTTCATGTTTCATTACTTAAACCAGTCTTGTCTTCTCCCTTTGCCCCCCCCCGCAGACCCCCTCCACCTCCCAGGATCATTGACGGCCAGCCAGCCTACACAGTACGCCGGATACTGGACTCCCGGAGGGTCCAGAACTCTCTGCAGTATCTGGTGGACTGGGAGGGCTACGGACCGGAGGAGCGCTCCTGGGTTCCTGCCAAGGACATCCTGGACCCAAGTTTGATCCGAGAGTTTCGCTCCCTGAGGCCAGGGTGTTCTGGAAGGAACGTCAGGGGTCGTTCCTAGAGGAGGGGGTCCTGTGAGAATCCTGCCTCCTGTTGTTCTTCTCCGGGCCTCTAGAGGTCACCTGTGTTCCCTTCTGCCTTAGTTCTTCCTCATGCATCCTTGTTAGCTATTATGCAGGTCACCTGTGCCTTGTTTTCCTTAGAGTATTTTAGCTGTGTTTTTTCCCCTTGTTCCTCACTCGGTTTTTGAGTCTTGGCTATGTGATTCCTGCTGTGATCCACTGTGCTCTTAAGTTCCAAGCAATCCCAAGTAAGCTATTCTTAGTTGTTTGAGTTAGTTTTTTCTCCCCTCGTGGAGTTATTTTATTTTTCTCCTGTTATTGTTTGCATTATTTCTCCTACTATCATTCCTTTTTCTCTGAAGAACTTTTGTTGGATTTTTGACTTGCAAAGTATCTTTTTTTTTAATAAATCTACTTTGCCTGGAGTATTGCCTTGAGTGTTTCGTTTGGGTCCAACACTACCTCCTCTGTGGCTAAGTGGTAGAACATTCATCTTTCCACACCAGAGACCCGAGTTCGAGCCCAGCTCGTGACAATTGTTGAATTCAATTATTTTTGCCTTTTATTTAATAGTATGAGGCATTTGACTTGGTAAGAAAGGCTGCAATGACTCACAGACTATAATTTCATGATGTTTGAAACTGCTGCATGTGTAAAATATGATATTCAAGCTTTTCAGTTTCTGCTTCTTGAGTTAAAGGATTAGTTCACTTTCAAAAAACGTTTGCTGATAATTTACTCACCCCCATGTCATCCAAGATGTCCATGTCTTTCTTTGTTCTGTCTAAAAAAAATTAAGGTTTTTGATGAAAACAATCCAGCATTTTTCTCCAAATAATGCACTTCAATGGGAACCAAACGGTTCAAGGTCCAAAAGACAGTTTCAGTAAAAACTGCAAACTGTTCAAAGGGCTTTAAACGATTCCAGACGATGAAAATGGGTCTTATTAGGTGAAACGATCACTCATTTAAAAAAAAAAATAACAAAGTTTAAGTTTTATAAGCTCAAATGCTCGCCTTGCTCTGTACTGTGACTCACGTTTGTGACTCTCCTGAAAAAAACAAATCTTTTTCAGAGTCAATTCGTTCTGTTCGTTCGTTGAATGAACCAAATGACTCGGAAAAAGATTCGTTCATTTTGATGAATGAGTACGAACAGGAGAGTCACGAACGTGCGTCACAGAACAGAACAGAGCAAGGCAAGCATTTGTGCATATAAAACTTAAACTTTGTTATTTATTTATTAAATGAGCAATTGTTTCGCTTTATAAGACCCTTATTCATCATCTGGAATCGTTTAAAGCCCTTTGAACAGTTTGCAGTTTGTACTGAAAGTGTCATTTGGACCTTGAACCATTTGGTTCCCACTGAAGTCCATTATATGGAGAAAAATGCTGGAATGTTTTCATCAAAAACCTTAATTTCTTTTCCACTGAAGAAAGAAAGACATGGACATCTTGGATGACATGGGGGTGAGTATATTATCAGCAAAAGTTTTTTGAAAAGTGAACTACTCCTTTAAATGCATTTCTACTCTTCATATTGTTAATAACAAGCTCTTTCTCATTAGCTCAGAAGTAAACCACTCACAGGAAGTGAATCTCTCTTCTAGTTTCACATGACTCAGTTTTCAGCAAATGTCATTCTTCTCTGTGCATGTGGACTAATCACAAACTCAGGATCCATTTTAACGTTTATAATGAGGGGTTGAACTTATTCGGTTTTCTCAAAGCAAAACCAATCCTGGAATCCTGAGTTTGTTGAACTCACTTTGTGGTACAGGACACTTATCAGTATTTATTTTGGGACATTATCCCTCAGATATCTTTCCAGTCCCCTAGAATTGATTTGATGATGAGCTGCAGTTACAAAGCAGAAACACTTTCGTAACACCGTGTGTTTCCCTCCAGCAGGCTCGTGTGCAAGGCCGCGTCAGTCATGCGCCTGATTAATTCTAACTTGCACTCATGAATGAAAGGGACGTGAAATGGCAGGATGTTGTTCTTACTGCTGCTGGGTATGAGGTCCCGGTGTGGAATGAAGAGTTTATATCCGTAGTGTTTCTCCAGGACGTCGGGTAAGATCTCCAGAGCAAACAGCTCCTCCTCACTCATCTCTCGCTCCACTGACTCCAAGTCCACTTTGGTGTAAGAGAGGTAGGCGTCATATTCTTTGTTGTCTGAAAAGAACAGATAAGTTGTACACTTTCAACTTATGTTTAATGTATTATTTTAAATCGATTTAATATAAATCTAAAAAACTTCAAAATATGAGAAACAATATTCATACAAAGTAAAAATAAAAAATGACTTATTTATTTTTTTCTATAGTGAGCTTTATTTGCTTTTAGACAAACTAAACAAAACCATAAAAGTAGCCTACACTGTATGCCTTTACTTTGACTTTATTAACCAACGCCTTTGCTGCTGAACTTCGATTATCCAATTCAACCACACCTTCAATGTGTGTTGAATTTAATATATATATATATATATATATATATATATATATTTATATATATATAGTATATATATATATATATATACAGTATATATATATACATATATATATATATATATATAATTATTATTATTATTATTATTGCTGAAGTAACTGTGTTGAACTTTCTTGATCTTCTGCAATCCAGAATGGCAGCACAGCTGAAAGGTTTGAGTTGCGCCCTCTACTGTACAGACGTGAATTTGTATTTCTTTCAGCGTAAGGTTTGTTCATTTCACTTTCACTTTTTCTGTACATTTGGCAAAAAAAAAAAAGTTTCACAGATGATTTATAAAACACAGTCTCATGAGAATTTGTTGCTATTTCACATTTTTGGAAAATTGGTGGCAAACTGGTACGGTCTCATTTGTATGACCAGCTCTCACACCACTAAGGGTTAAGTTGGTGGGTGCATGGGGTGGTGATGGCACAGTGGATAAGACGCATGCCTTTGGTGTGAGAGATCCGGGTTCAAACCACTGTGAGACACCAATGTGCCCCTGAGCAAGACACTTAACCTTAGTTGCTCCAGAGGCGTGTGACCTCTGACATAGATAGCAATTGTAAGTTGCTTTAGATAAAACTAAAAGCGTCAGCTAAATTAATAAATGTAAATATTATATAAATGTAAGTTTAGGCCTGCAGCTTCACGCTTAATGAATCACAAAAATGTAAAAATCAAGCTTTCTTGTGAGATTAGTTTGAATGTGCTTTGATGAAAGAATAGACCTTATTCAGAGCAGCGCCATGACAGGTATGAAAGTGAGGCTGTGAGGGATGGACTTACCGTGTTTCCAATGGCATCCGCAGTAAAAAGCTGAATAAAGCGGCTATATTACTTATAATTTTCCACAGCTTACATTGTCGGGAGTTTTTTTTGTCAACTGACATTTCTTTGAAAGATATTTTCCAGTGTTTCATGAGCAGAACAATCCGAAAACACATTAAATAACAGTACAGCCCATTGAAGAGATGCATGTCTATCCCTCACAGCCTCGCTTTCATTCTCATTAAAAATCAAAGATGGCGCTGCCGTGAATAAGGCGTATTGCATTTTGCATTACTAGACAGCACCTGGTTGTTTATTAAAATAACACTCGTTTAAATTATTGCAGTGACTAATGTGTTTATGCCTCCTACAGGGTTACATGATTATATTCAGTTAATTAATTCATTTTCCTTAGTAATGTTAGAAAAAACCAACATGGGTAACACTTAATCATTAGTTAAGCATGAGTACAGTTAATTCATCATTCATAAAGCATTAATAGACATTAATAATCAGTTTATAAATACAGCTATAAATGCTTTCTTTTTAATTTAAAAGCATATCTATAATTGGTTTAATAATTGTACTTTCACCCTTTATTAATGATCAGTTTATCATTTCTAAATGAAGAAATGCATTTTTATAAACCAGTTATTTAAGAGTTTTCAGTGGTTCATCGATTACTTAGAGCGTTTAAAACTTAAATGATTAATAAACTATTTAAATGTACATTCATACATCGTATCATTCAGACATATAGTGATGGTTACTTAGTGTGTTAATAAATGCTTTATTAACATGTATTTATGCTGTAATTCAGGGTTAATTCAGGTAGTTATAAAGCATTTAGTAGTGGTCAGTTAACTATGTTTGTGCACAACACAGTGATACAGAACATAGAATATTTAACAGCCTTTAAATCTCCTTTATAAATGCTTTACAGGGCATGAATAGTCCTCACTTTAGATGAGCTCACAAAATAGTCAACTGACCACTACTAAATGCTTTATAACTACCTGTATTTACTACATTTACTTACACTTTCTAAGTGATCTTATGAATGACTGACAACTCTTAAATAACTGGTTTGAAAATAATGTTATACTTCATTTAGAAATTATTAATTGATCATTAATAAAGGGGGCAAATACAATTATTAAACGCATTATAGATATGCTTATAAATCAAGAAAAAAGCATTTATAGCTGTAATTATAAACTGCTTATTAATGTCTATTAATGCTTTATAAATGATGAATTAACTGTTTACTCATGCTTAACACATGATTAATAGCATAACAGTTATTATAAAGTGAAAATTATTATAAAATCTGCAAGATTACATGTTTTAATATATATATATTATCATCCTGTGTTCTTATTCCATTTCCACGTTACAATAAACTGTACACTAAATGGCAAAAAAATATGTGGACACAAAACATCATATTCTGTAGGCCTACCCAATCATAATCTGCAAACACATAATCACGTACAATGTCTGGTTCAATTTCAAAACATGAATCGCTCCTTCATTTGCTCCCACTGTTCGGTTAATGATGAGATGTTGCGACATGAACAGAAATGCTCTCTATGCTCTGTCTGCACTTTCTGAATGTTTCAGCATAGGTCAAGAAGCACTTCTGTGGCCCTAGACCTGTTGGTTTTTCTGTTTGGTAACTGTGCCATTGGATACATTTAATTCTGTAAAATGACTGAATTGTTTTACTTGTGATGCAAGTACTTTTTGGTTTAGTTGTGGTTAAGAATTTTTCTGCTTTAACTTCCAGTAAATTGTATAGCTAACTGTTTCTTACATGCATTTTTAGGCATGTTTGTAGGGAGAAAGAGAAAGAGAGCCGTCTGAGATGATCCAAGTGTCAAGGACAATTAATGATTATTATTAGTTGTAATGTTATTATTACTATTATTACGTACCATCATCTGCCTCATCGCTGCCGAAGTGTCGCCGGTAGCACAGCATGATCTCCACATTATAGCACTTATAGATGGCAGTGAAGATCCCCAATAACAGCATGATGGCGCCTAGACCACCAACCAACTCCAGCCTGTACATATCTACATGAGAACAGAAACACACTTTCATCACGTCTTCACTGTCCAGGGTGAAGTGCAGCAAGTGAAAGGGTAAAATCATATTGAATCAACATCTTCTTTATTTTTATAAATTTTAAAAATCCTTTCTCTTTTTGTAGCCAAGGTCATAGTAGCTGTTCTTTGGGGAAAACAGTCATTATTCCACCTCCACCTTTTAATCCATATCCATAGATTTCTAAAGAATGGATTTCATACGGGTATATGTATCTGGGATTTATTACTTTAGGCTGACTGAGTGACCTTAAGGGGTTAGTTCACCAAAAAATGAAAATTAAGTCATTAATTACTCACCCCCATGCTGTACCAACCCCGTAAGACTTTCGTTCATCTTCGGAACACAAATGAAGATATTTTTGATTAAATTTGAGAAGTGGATCACTGTTACATAGGCTCCTAAGGGATTGAAACTTGACGGCCCAGAAAGTCAATGAAGACAATGTTTAAATATTTCATGTGACAACAGTGGCTCAACTATATGTTTATCAAGCGACGAGAATACTTTTTGTGCGGAAATAAAACAAAAATAATGACTTTATTCGACTATTCCTTTTCTTCGTTCTGGGCCTGAGACGAGAGTTCAAGAGATTTCCACGACGCATGTGCGAGAACTTAACTGAAGTTGTTGAAGAAGATCGCAATTCTCGCGAGTGCGTCGTGGAAATCTCTTGAACTCTCGTCTCATGCCTACAAGGAAGAAAAGCAATAGTCTAATAAAGTTGTTATTTTTGTTTGTTTTTTCGCACAAAAAGTATTCTCGTCGCTTGGTAAACTTATAGTTGAGCCACTGTTGTCTCATGGAATATTTAATTTTTTCTTCAATGACTTTCTGGCAGTCAACTTTCGATCCCTTAGGAGCCTATGTAGCAGTGATCCACCTCTCAAATTTAATCAAAAATATTTTCATTTGTGTTCCCGAAGATGAACGAAGGTCTTACGGGGTTGGTACAGCATGGGGTAAGTAATTAATGACTTATTTTCATTTTTAGGTGAACGAACCCTTGCTCCGGAGCAGGAGGTGTTGAGAAAATAATTTTCTATGGCCACTTGCATAGCCTGAAATTTATCTCAGGTTTTGGAACCGAAAGTGAGGTTATCTGCTTCTTCAGAGTAA